TCTCTCTGCCACTGAACAGCTAGAACAGATAATAACTATTAGTAAATCAAACTCCTCTGCAATATCCAGCTGTGCCTCACGCATTTACATACAGATAGAATGGGTATATGTTTTTAATATGTATGTGATACGTACTCTTACCACAGCTGAAGTGCATGCTACAAAGGCAGAGGAGAATGGGAATCGGATCAGCATGAGATAATAAAGTGGCCTAGATAAAGTATTAGCCAGCGATTGATCTCAAACCGGGTGCTGCTTCTTCTGACCTGATTACTTACTATGCATAGATTCCATTAAATAGAGCTTAGACATGGAAAGCTTCTGCAAGTACTTTAAATGCATAGAAGGATCTATAGTACTCTGAACCCAAACTGTAACTGCAGGGGTGGCCCACACCCTCCCTGCTCAAGTCAAGACCCACAGTCAGGATGAGCTGGGAGGTGAAAGGGCCGCCTGACAGCTGGTGGGAAGCCCTGCTTTACCCACAGAGGCGGCCTTTCCCTTCCCTCCCCCACACCAAGCAAGTACCTCTCAGTGGATGCCTCTCCGGAAGCAGTTTGTCTGGTCCTAGCTGCACAGCTCTAACTAACAGAATGGGAAGGTGGTGAGGGAGCTTAACAATCATTCAGGGTCGAGGTCCCCTTTGAAAAACTGATGACAGCCAAGAATCCCTCTTTTCAGGAAAAAAAATGCAAATCCCCACATGCATGCCTGATTTGGGATGTAATTTCAGGGGTTCTAACGGACTTCCTGAATTCAGACCCTAGGTTAGGGGTGTGGATCTAGTCCATCCCCTTCGTTTTGCAGATGAAGACACTGAGGTAGGGGCTGGGGGTGGGGGTGGGAAGTGTGGAGGCTTTCCCTGCTAAGTCACAGCCTGACCCTAAAGGAAGATTAATTCTACATAAGGGGCTCTCTATGGTTTACACAAGCAAATTGCCTATACAATAATGTCTCTCGTCATATCCCTCTTATTTCAAAATATTTAAACATGCACTTTGAATGGCAAAACCAGACTTGAACCTGGTCTCAATGCTCCCATCTAGCCTGTCTCTGTCCCTGAGTTTAAGGGTCTGATTTTTAATTTTGTTTCCCTCAGTATGACTGACACTCTGGGAAAATTTCTCTGCCATCTTTGCACTATCACCCTGCCCTCTCTTGTTGCAGTCTCACCAAGCCTTCCTGACTGCGGAAGTTGTTTTAGTTTTTTCCTTCCCATGAGGTGTGACATCCCTGCTTGGTTGTCTGAAGCCTGCTGAACAGTCGGCCACCTCCACAGAGGTGCTTCAGCCTGGAAACTCTGCTCTAAGTCTCTGGACCGGGTCATAGAGCTGGGGAAGCACAGACAGGTCTTTCCTGCGATATACTTTAGGGTGATTTAAAAGCGGGTCCCTTCATACTGGCATCGGTACTGCAGGAGCCAAAAGAGGGTGTGTGGGTTCCTGTCTGGTTGTGCCGGCATGCCCATGCCGAATGTTCTTGGCTGCCTGCATGGCTGCTCCTTTGTTGGGTCTAAAGCTGAGTCCTGATTTGGGCAACAGCTCTTAAAGAAGTGAAGGGGCTTCCCTGTACTTGAATGGGAGTCTGCCCAAGGGCACTCACTCCCAGGAGGTACGTGTGGGTGGGTGTGCTGCTTCTGTGTCAGGTCAAAGTTTTCAGGCCCGCACACTGGGGTTCCTTCTTATAAGAAATGGAATTTCTGAACAGACTGGCAGCTGCAAATGTGTTGCCTATCTGAACTCGACCTCTGTGGGTTCTCCACGAGGCCACTGTCAAAGGGGTTTCTGGTCCAGCAGACAGCAGGGGTTTCTCATTGCTCTGAAAGGATCTGGGGCCTCTACACACACATGCTTTACCTGCCTTGTTTCCTGTGCCTGAAATGTCCCCTTGAAAACTGTTAAAATTCAACCCATCCTCCAAAGGCCCTGTTCAAATGCTACCTTCTCCATGTAGCTTTTCCCCATTTCCTCCGAGGGATCTCCACAGCACTCTGCAGTTCTCCATGGCAGTTACTTTATTCTAGTTATTTGTACATTTGCTGTATCCCCTGCAAGACTGTGTGCATGTGGCTTACCCTTGGTATCTTCTGCTGAGTATAGCACAGGGCTATAGCACAGGGTCTAGAAATATCTGCTAAATTTAACCATTTACCTGGTCCTGAGGTCTCTCAAAATGATGTGGATCCTGATGATAAAACTTTTCAGTAGACTCTTAATGTAGCTTAATGGCTACTGCCAGAAAAGTGCATCAGCTCACATGGACCCCAGCCTTCCCAAAATGTTGAGGAAATGTCCTGGTCCAGTGTTCAATGCTTCCACTTAGAACATAAAAACTGATACTCACACAGTGTAGACAGAATGAAATAGCTAAACAACTAAATTAGTTCTAACACTGGCATTTTAATTGCCTCAAGAGTCTAAACTTGAGTTGTACATTTCATCTTTAACACTGACATGGCCAAAAACTGCAAAGACGCCCTGGTCAGCTAGCTCAGTTGGTTAAAGCATCATCTTGATGTGCCAAGGTGTGGGTTTGATCCCCGGCCAGGGCACGTACAAGAATCAACCAATGACTGCATGGATGGGTGAAACAGCAAGTCAATGTTTCTCTCATTCTCTAAAAAAAAAACAACCAAAAAAACAAAAACAAAACCAATAAAAATATTTTTTAAAAATTGCAAAGATGACCATTTCTTGGGTATTCTGGATATAAGGTGATCCCACCAAATAAAATGTCAAAAACTGCTTGAGTAGCCACTATGTACATGGCCCACACCTCCCTGCAGTCAGATTTACTTAGGCTGGGACTTGCTGCCTAACTCACCGGTGGTCAGGGCCACAGTGGAGTTCATTTAAAAGCTCCGTGATGGCGAATCTGTAACTCTCAGTGTTTCCGCCCAACCCATCTGATTTTCTTCCTTTGATCTGGAAAATGCGGGCCCATAGGGAAACCCTGACAATCCTGCGGGCCTCACAGCTGATGCGGCCCAAGCTGTGTTGACCATGTTGGTACCCTGCTGCCTGGAGTTACTGTGCTTGGGAGAGAAACTGCTCTTTTTGTGAAAGGCAGGCCCCCACCCACAGTGACAAATGGGCTCGACAGTTCATGCATTCCAGAGGATGCTCGCAGCTTCCAGATGGGCGCACCATCAAATAGGTTGCAGGCGGAGAGGGAAAAGGAAAAATTAAAGCCATTAATATGCTAGAAGGAATAAAGAGACTGGTTCCTTGAGACTGGGTCCCCAGGATGTGACTCAGGTTCCTGAAGCCATGGGCAATCCGCTCTCTCTCCCATCCCCTATGAGCCCAATATTTTGGCCAAACGCAGACACAGGGCCCAACCTCCTTGACCACAGGAGCTTTACACACACATTGTTTTCTGCCTCCTCTCTGAGCCCTTTCTAAGCCAGGGGAGCCTCACTGTTGCTATACCTGAGGAAATCCATTCATTTAAATCAAACTGCAAGCAGCACTAGAAATAATGTTAAATTAAGTATAGGATGGTGCTTCCTTTGACTAAATTTTTCATTGTTTTATTGATATTTATTAATTAAAAATGCAGGACAGCACACATGAGGGTGTATAGTTGCAAAGAGATATACTGAAGTACGTATCCCTTGTGTCTCTGTCTACACACACACACTGAAAGTACCCACCCTTCCCTCATCTTTATGACGTACCACCCTGGAATGGTGTCCCTTATCAGCACATGTGTCCCTATGTACCATCTGCAGATGTTTTATTTATATGTGGCCAACACATCGCAGCACTGAAACATGCATTTACAAGTATATCTGTTTTATGAAACCCTATTCCTTTGTTTTAATAGCTGAGCTATCCAACCATAGCATTATAATGTACAAGGTAAATGGGTCTCCATCTCTAGAACCTGCTCCAAGTTTTCTCAAATGTGACTAACTGCAAGAATTTTCCAACCATCAAAGAGATACCCCCACCCCTGCAAAGACCAGTTTATTCTAGATCGAAACCTGCACAGTTACAAATCACAGAGGTTTTAGGGGTGAACTTTCTTTAACTTGAAACTGCCCTCAAAAATGAAATTTTGCTCCAGGGGTAACAGGAAGGAAAAAACTACCTCCCTGGAAAGCACTCACGATGCAAAAGGGAATGACAGTTATTTTGTTTTGGGGGTGAAATCAGTATTATACAGAAGTTTGCATGCTTAAGAGTGTTTATTAGGAAAAAATGCAAAGGATGAAAACCTCTGAACCAGGTATCTATAAACTGTGTATTGTTTAAAGTGGTGAAAGAAAATTGGTTAGAATTTGCTCTGACTGCAATAATCTGAAGACAGGGAATGGTAGGCAAAACATTAGAAAGAGGAGGCTATAATTATTATTTACTAATGCTCGATTCTAACGCTACTTTAACAGCTTGTGCATTGTCAGATCAACAATCTGCACTAAATAAATGACCATTTGGGAATTGTTAGGGAGCATCTCTGTTCCTCTCCCAGCTTGACTAAAAACTGTCATTTGCAATCAAAGAAACTGGCCTTGGAACTGAGAACACAGCCTTGTAGTTGTCTGTTTCTGAGGAAAGACCAAAGATTCACATTCACTTGATCTTTTGCAGCCAATCTAATTTGATTCTGCACGAACCCAAGAGGACTCCATGCCACAGTCAGAATTTCCTGTCGGGTTGCACTAAAAACTTTGTCTTCTCTGTGACCAGTCCTTTGAATTCTGAGAGGCTGTCATAGCAAATGAGGATGGGACGAAGCCTAGATTAATTTATGACCCTCAAGTGGGAGGCAGAGGAAAAGAGCTCTGCACTGAGTTTCAAAATGGTGGTGGGTTTTGAAAAAGTAAGAAGTACTATGTGAGGATCTGAGCTTCAAGTACACCTACCTAAATTAAGTATACACTGTTGCCTCTCCAGAGCTTGTGGATATTTAAAATTCCATCCTGGTCCTTTTAACAGAATGTTAAGCAGTTATATAAACGGAAAAGTCTAATGTAACTAAAAAAGTTTACTTACCATCAATTCCTCAGGTGCCGGCCTTTCTTTTGGCTGTTTTCGCATGCTGTAAGAGGGAAAAAACACATACGCCTATATTATCTGTATCGCTTGTAAATTTGTGCTATAATTTCCACTGCTATTTCCCCTAGAACTGGGATGTTATCAAAATTTATCCTGTTCAGTTCTTGGCCAAAGTACAGGCACATCTCGTTTTAATGCGCTCCACTTTACTGTACTTCACAGGTGTTGCTTTTATTTTTCTTTTTTAAAAACTGAAGTCAAGACCCTCCACCAGCAAAAAGATTATGACTTGCTTTATTGTCATACTTGCTTTATTACAGTGGTCTGGACCTGACCTGCAACATCTCCTAGGTATGTCTGTATTAGCATATATTCCTTTTCTTTTACTTTGGCCTTCAATTAATCAGATTTTGGGGGATCTGAAGATTCAGAAACACAAAGATTTTTTTTTTTTTTTGCAATTACTCTTGCAATATAGATAAAGAATGAATTTAAATTTATTCTAATTCTATTTTTGAAACAAATGTGAAAAAAAGCAGCAATATTCTCTTCCTGATTTAGCTGTCAATTTATTTCAAACTTAAATTTAGGGACCAATATACTTCTTGTTTGGTACCTGGGCTAAGACAATAAGTGAAACATGACTATCAGCTCAAATGAGAAAACATCTCATTCCATCACTGTTACTCTGAATAAGAGTATACAAAACAGGTCAGGCATCTAGATAATGCTACCGGATTAAAAACCGGTTATTATGACACCATCTCAGCTTCCACTTATTTTGGCTATAATCAAGTTGCCAATTCATGACACAGCTGTGGGGAAAGTTAAGTTCGTTTAAGCTGCCTAAAGAATAACATTCCTCATGCAAAATATTCTTTTCTTACGTGCAATAGGTACAATTAGTAGCTGTAGCGTGTACTCAGCTACGTGATAAAGCACCCACACGAGACTGAGATGACTGTATTTGTACAAAACTCAGAGTGTCTGTGGGATGAAGTCATGAAGACAGATTGCTGCTTCTATTGGAAAATCACACAGATGGTTTTTCTTTATATAAGGCAACCTCTAACCTTCATACAATCTCTGCATTTGCTGACAGTATTTTTTAAGTAGAGAGATTTAATGATCATTTGGTAAACAAGAACTGTAGTTATGAACTATTAATGGCATCAAGGACATTTGCCTTCCCTATAAATAACCATATGCACCTCTCAAATACTGCATCCATTAGCAAGTAATTCAAGCTGTCTCGCCAGTGGAGTTGGTAACAGTCCTAATCTGACATTCCAAAGCAGCTGTATCTCTTGGGAAAACAAGGCTATTACCCACTATCATTTCTGTTTCAGCTTGACATCTGTGGAAATTTCAACACAGGTTATCCCTTCCTCTGTCTCCATAAAACTTTTATATAACAGCTGATTAATATTTTGGACAAGAGGAAGGCAAAATCTTATCTGCTCCCCACTCCCATGCCCAGAACTGGCCCCACCCCCAGGTTGGTCTCCGACCACACAGTGACACAGTGAGATAGAGATAAGCATGGTCCTCCTGTCACAAATCCAACATCTCCGGAGCCAGTGATGCCCAAACCAGGCGCTCCAGGCAGTTTAGGAATCGCACGGTTTGTTTTTCAATTTCTGCATTTCAAAATAGGGCATTCCCATGATGTGCTTCTGAGTATTTCTAGGAATTTCATGAAAAGGAAATGAAGAAAGGCTAATAAGTATTTCTGAATAATGCTCTAATATTAATGAACTCAGAATTCCAGTATTTAACCAACATGTATTTTTTCCAACATGGCCTGCTCTGGAAAAAAATGTTTGTAGAGTGAAAACAGTTTTTAAAAGCTACACAATATTATGTAAGCTATTTTAAATAAATAGAAACAAGTGTTAATAAAATTTTAAAAATTGGGGGGAATCTCTTCTCTACATATTTCCTATGGAATGAATATAAACTGTACGAGACATTTTTATTAAGAGGTAACATATTACACTTAGTCAAAAAGGTGATAAAGCTTGACATTTATATTAAGGAATATTTCTTGGTTTCACTTTAGCGTTAGCATCAGATGGATCATGGGGGGTGGGGAGGGGACAGTGTGCAACCGTTCTGGTTTAGCAAGGACCCCTGATCACCATTTTGTGGCACCACAGGAACGGGGGGTTGGTTTTCCACCAGTGGCCACGACTCTGAAGGGGTGATGGAATGAGGAACTGGGGGAGGGGAAAGAGAAGCGAAGGTAGTTGAGAAGGGGCTCCAGCATGTCCAGACCAGTTTCTGGCTGGCTCTGTCTCCTCCCTTGGGGTGGTGGTTCCTCTGCTCCCAATGTCCTTCCCGCTCCCCATGCTGGGGTGAGGGAGAGGGCACAGGAGGGCAGTGGAGCAACTGGGCCTTCGAAGGCCACATAAGTGCTGCCGAACGAATCGGGGAGAGGCTGATGACGTGAAGGGCTAATAAAAGAAAAAATTCTACTGGGAGGAAAAAGGCAGAAGGCTGAAAAGGAACCCTCGGCAGAAAAATGCCTGCTTCCTCAGGTGTAAAATGACAAGGGGCTGCCTAGCGACTCTGAGGGCCCCGTGGATCTAAATCCTGTGGTTCTTCTCAGTTCCTTAATGGTTAAAGTGGATCTAATAGAACCATGTTTTCATAATCTTTCAAACATCAAAATTCATTGAAATGGGGCACCAGTATTGCGTTTAAAATATAACCAAAGATAAAAGTTATTTACTGAAAATCCAATGAATTAATAAACTATGCTGCTTCCACTAAGTGACAGACAGTTTTATGGGTAACTTGAGGTTACATTAATAAAAATAAGCTTCATATGTCTGTTCAATAGGGGCTATAAAACCGTGTATTTCTTAAAAAAAAAAAAAGTGGATAGCAGCAATATCTGTGCTCAAAGAAGTAACCTGATTCTCAGCAGTTTATTAAAACAGAAAAAGCCTCTAAAGAACATTTACAACCCTTTGTGTAAATAACGTTTACATAATTTAAACAATTCCTTCAGCTTTGCCGCCCCATCTGCCCAAGGCCCTGAAGTCCCTCCCATCTCCAAAAGGAAGCAGGGAGAGCCATAAGGTCTCACGGAGCCTCCGAGTTAATGGCATGTATCATTTACATTGAGGGCATGGCATGTTTGCAAACAGGCTCACCACTGAGTGATGAAATGTACAAATGGCTCGGAGAACTCTCCAACCGGAAGGACGGGCGAATCCTGGGATGGAGGAAAAACAAGTCACCAAAAGTCACACCGATTCCTTTTCTTTCTACATACCCTTCCTCCCCCACCAAAGTAACAGTATGAAGATGAATGTATCACACGGATTCACCACCCCGTGGAAAGGACACTAAGGGCTCATCCAATTAAAAAGACTGTCCGCACCCTCTTCCATGGGCTTTTGTAAAATGCCAAATTTAAAGCCACACACATTTCACAACGGTGAGAAACAGGAGCACAAAGAGGGAGGGGAGGTGTAAAAAGGACAGTGATAGCCACAGGGCAGGAAGGAAGGTACCAAAGTGTAAATGAGAAATTAATGATTATTTAAGTAACACAAATGGTCTTGTAATTAACAAAGAGCTGTGAAATTATTCTTGTGTTGACCTTTGTTTCTTTTACTGGATTTGCTATTTATTTACACTTCCCTTTTTATTTACATTTATTTGTATATTCTGCTGCTATTAACTGCTTGCCCCTAACACAATCATTTGGGCCAGATTACTATTATTATTTTAAACTTAACTAGAAAGGCTTTTATAGGGAAAGCTGTTTCCTGAAAAAGAACTTCAGCCTATTTGCGGGTCCAGGCAAACTCGTCATATGAGAAAGCCAGTGAATTAAGGACATAATGAAAAACTCCCACCTTGACCACCAAACCCAACTGGGGTGGAGGTGGCGTGAGTCTAAAGAGCAGATAACTACACAGCAACAAAACTCATGACAACAACGGCGTAACACAGGGAGGGAACCCCATTACCATTTGCAAAGGAAGGCTTTAAGAATTTAGGAGTTTTTCCAAGAATGACAGAGAGCGCCACTGTGTTTATAGTGTAACGGCTCAGGATGTAATGAAATTACACTGCAGAGTACTTTAACAGTCATCTCATTAGACCTACAGTTGGAACAAGAGAGCCACATAAAGTAGGCAGCTGCAAATGACTCCATTCTCATCTATTCTCATTTGCTATTAAAAATACCTTTCGGCGGCTTTCTTTCCTCCCTGACATCCCTACACAAAGTGCCCTGCAAAGTATGATACATGCACCTATTTAAATTAACAAAGGAATGACTTATTTTAATCTCACTGTGCTTTGGAGTGCTTTGGCCATTTGGATGAGCAATATATCATTACATACAACCTTCCAGCGCTGCAGGCAAGAAACTCAGAGCATGCAGCATTTGGTGGGAGCCAAACAATTTCTCTAGCACACAACTGTGTCAAATGCATGCATGTATTCATTATTGAGAACGAGAGGAAATGGCTTTGATGTAGTGGAAAAAAGAAGATGATAAAAGCACCTCTGCAATATGCGCGTCATTATCAATGGTGGCAGATAGATACAACCGCACAGCCCCTATGTGATTAGTAAATATACATATAATTGCTGTGGCCAATTATCAGAAAAATGAGACTGGTAATTACAAGACAGAAAATTAACTAGAACTCTTATTAAGGCTTTGTTTCCAATTCAAACAATTGGAATCTGCTGGAAAATACAACTGAATCAAAAGGAACCGAGGGGGGTCAAAGCAGCCAAAAAAAAAAAAAAAAAAAAAAAAAA